TCTCTCTCTCTCTCTCTCTCTCTCTCTCTCTCTCTCTCTCTCTCTCTCTCTCTCTCACACACACACACACACACACACACACACACACACACGTGGGTTGGGCAATTGAACACCAGAGCAAAGAGTGGTTCAGATTACTTGGATGAGAACACAATTCGCTTAGAGGGCCACACCACATTGCCAGATGGAGAGAGAGGCCACGAAGCATGTTGTAACGTGCCAGCATGGCATGGGTGAGGGGAACCAGGAACATGGTCTGTGTTGAGGTTTCGAACTCTCAGTGCAGAAAAGAAGAGGGCCATGACTGCCTTCACAGACTGAGTGCAGAAAAGAAGAGGGCCATGACTGCCTTCACGAAAGCAGGGGAGCTTGCAATCTAGGTACCCTTCCGGATTTGTGAACATAAGATGGGCTAATATAACAAAATTAATTCAATCAATAATCTTAAGCATTCCAAGGACATGCTCTTGGAAGCGGCGGTGGAGATAACAGGTCGACAAAAACACACATCAGGTTAATCAGATTAAGAATGTGCAAAAAAAAAAACAAAGATTACGGTAGTTTTCTGTGGTGTGTATTAAGGGACGCTGGACCCGGTTTCCAGCAGGTACACCTCCCCACCAATAGACAGGAGCCATCAGCGGGATGGTGCTACGGGAGGATGTTTTTATTACCCCCCGTAGCACAGCCAGGCGATGTGGGGGGGGGGGGGACAAATCAAGTTCTGAAATAAACCTGATTCCACTCCATGTCATTCATTGGTGCTTCCTTAGAAAATTGGAACAGATACCTGCTCGCTCTCTCTCGCTCTTCTTTTTTTTTTGGGTGGGGGGGGTGGGGGGGGGAGAGCAATGCTCCAATCTATTTGTGGGGAGCAGCACATGCTGGGAACCAGGCCCAGCGTCGCCTATGAAAATCCCTGCTTGCTCTCTTAAACCGCCAGTACCCCAGCCAGCTATTTTTCTAAGTCGAGGAGCGTATACCTGCACAAGTTTTGGGGATCGGGGTAGTGAATGCCTGGTGGGTGCCCACACGACTTTGATTTCTCTTATTTATTTTATTTTATTATATCTTAAAGGAAGAAGCGGTCCTCCCGTGACGCTCCCCCGGGCCCAGGAGAAACTGGGGATGGAGCACTTCGCGGGGTGCCAGAAACCGCGAAGGGGTGCGACCGAAGCCGGCCAGTTGAAAAAAAAGAGTGTCGCGGCGTGGAGCAGGGGGAAGAGCTGCACTTCGTTTATTTGTTTTTTCGTTTTCCATCCGTTCCGCACCGCACCAAATGTGTAAACTGGGACTGAATCGTCCCGCTAGCCGATGGAAAGATACACGTGGCCCGGAGCCACAGCACACGCCAAACAGACAGGAACAACTGGGGGGAAAGACGCTGGGGGGCCGAACCCGACGAGCGGGCGCGTCGAGCAGGCGCAGCCCGAAGTTGCCACGGTGCGACGAAGTCATCGAGCGGGCGAGGGGCGCTGGTGATGTGGGGCGATCTTTTGCGCTCAGAAAAATTAAGAAAAAAAACTGAAAATTTGAGATCCTGTAATCTGGCAGTCCATTGATTTGTTGACGTCAGTGAGTAGAGACGGGATCTCTCAGATAAATATATCCCTCCCTCCCTCTCTGTCAGTCCCGATCATTGCGTTTGATTGATCGGTTGTTCAGGCGCCCACTTGATCGGCTCATCAGTTAGCATGAACTTCATCGCTTTGACAGTGGATGTGCTCCCTCTCTCTCTCTCTCTCTCTCTCTCTCTCTCTCTCTCTCTCTCTCTCTCTCTCTCTCTCTCTCTCTCTCTCTCTCTCTCTCTCCTCCTTGCCCCCCCTGTGCCTCCCCTCGCGCGCGAGTTCAAAGAGAGAACTTGTTTCCGTACTTCGTTTTCCTCTTCTTCTTTTTATAAATAAGCAATTCCATTTTTATTCTTTTTTCTTCCAGAAAGAAGAATCTCGTTGTTTTTCTTTTCTTTTTTCTCTTTTTTTTTTGTTTTTTTGCCAGCTAAATGAAGGATGCCTGCTGAACGCCGGGCAGCTCCAGGCTCGGCCAGGTTCGGGACACCGGTCACCGCACCTCGGACTTGATAGCTGGGCCGGCTACTGGTGGTTTGACAGACTTGAACTGCAAAAACTACAACCGAAATCTTTGCTTAAACATGTTATGATGGTGTGCTTCCTACCAACTGGCCTAGCTCAGTTGCTGAGGCCCTGACCTTTTTTTTTTTTTTTTTTGAGGCCCTGACTTGTTGAAATAGTACAACCAAAAAAATACAGACCTGAGTTCGAACTGCACTGGAAGTAGATGAGTAAAAGAGTACAAAAAAAAGAAAGAAAAAATTCAAAAAAATGATGCTGTGCTTCTAAGGCGAAGGGCTGTGGTCGAGGAACGCTTCCCGGGAGAGGTTCCACTTAACTCGATTCTCAGTTCGAACTGTAGTCAAAGCTTGATGGTTTTGCAGTGCTTGGTGACTTTGAAATCGTGCCCGGCTGCGGGTGTTGTCATGTTGTAGACAGTCACCACGACAACCTTTTCCACCCGGACGAGCAGATCCAAAATTGAAACAGCTTCACGTCGAGAGAAAACGACATGAAGCACATGAAGATGAGCAGAGCCAAAATTGAAACATCTTTAACTGTTTAACTGTTTAACAAATAACATGAAGCACACTGTGCCCCTCTCTCACGCACAAGGCTTGCCACGTTGATTGTGGTTGAGCACGAGATGCCCACATCCCCACGTGACATAACGACCCACATGCACGCTATGAAAAGAGGCAGAGCAAAGGGGGAGATATACTCCTGTTCATTTCTCAGCACCTTCAGCTTTTTGTTTTTGTCTGTTCTCTTAATGATGCTCATTTGTATGCATTTAGTAGTGCAACACAAAGCGTGGGAGGAAGGAAAGAGGGGCAGAGGAAGAGACTGTGTGTGTGTGTGCGTGTGTGCGTGCGCGCGTGCACGCGCGTGTGTGTGTGTGTG